CCAGCCTCTAATCCACAGTTGTATCAGGGGACGTGGAGGTGAGCAGGGGGTAGCGCACAGATGGCGCAACATGCACACAAACACACACAAACTCACCCATTCAGGTCAACACAGTTCATAAAACACACAAATGACAACCATGCACTTTTGTCAGCTTTGACACAGCTTTGTTTGTGGTTTTATGGATGCACTCTGTGTGTGTCTTCTCCTTTTATTGGGTATTTATCTGTGACACCAGGTCTCAGCAGGACATAGGCTGAAATATGAAGTCATAATGTCTTGGCGCCCTCAGCTCCCCACATGAGCGAGCTGATGTCGAGATGACAAATCCTGAGCCCTATGTTATAAAGTCTTTGTAAAGCACAAGCATGTTTGTTCTCTGTAGAAAGTGGATCCTTGAATCCGATAATGAGAAAGAGTTTCAGAGTGAGCTGATGCTGAAAGGAGCAAAGACACAAGAAAATAATCACTTTGGTTCTTGTGCATTTTCATGTACATTTCCCTAATTTCCTTATTATGCTTCCCCCCCGTGCAGTTTCAACTGATAATTGTTTTCACCCCCTCAATTTAAAACGGAAAGCATCAGATAAGTGATGTAGGGCTAAACAGGACCAGTCACCTCCACAGTGTCAGAGAGTAAAGTAAAGAGCGTGAAGAAAGATGGCAGGAGGTGGAGACAATGAAATGTGTAACATGAAGAGGAAGAGATGAAGGCCCTTACACTTCTTAGACTCTAAGAAGTGTAAGGGCCATTAAGGGGGTCTGTGGTAACTCTGGTAACCTTACTCTAAAAGTTATTTGTTGCCTCTGTTACATTCTAATGATGCTATCTCTTTGTATCATAAATATATATATTATATATATATATTTTGTGGAGAGATGGGACCTGAGCAAAGGAGGAACCCATTAAAATTGAAGCACATCCAGGACTTTTCCCTGTCTGTAATCCATTAAGGCGCATGGAGATGAATAAAAACACGCTCCAAAACCTGAGCATTGTTTGAAAATGACCCCCTAAAACCTGAGGGCTTTCTGAAGAGCTGACAGAATGTTTAATTCCTCTGCCTCTGAAGCGCATAGACAAATGATGAGGTTAAACCTTTAGCATTCATTCTAACTCCCATTTCCCTAAACTTCATGAACATCTTTTAAAAACCAACAAAGCCTGATATTCCCCTGTTTTCTTTATCTTCCTCCTCAAATCTCTTACCTACTGAGCCTTGGTCAGCAGGTCAGGTCATGTATTGACGGCTACTTACCCCGATCACGTTGGTAGGAAGCGGAGATGCAACATCCATTTTTTTATACAGAGTATGGAATTGATGATATCAATGCTTTTGGGCATTTAATACTTTCTAACTTTTCTAAATATATTCTTCATTGTTGGTAGAAGTCTTGCTATACATCCATGAAGTCTGCTAGCACAGCATTTATGAACACACAGTGGACATCCATGCCCTATACCCCTTTAAACCAAAGTTTTGAAGTGTGAGTCTGCAGGGAAGCTGCTAGGTTTTTTCCCACAGTCTAGTGGACTGCCAATTAAGAGGTGGAGTTGGAGCTGGGGATTGTGGGGTTTTTGGCTTTGTGGGGGGGAGGGATGCCCTTGGGTTGTGTTTGGGAAAGATGGCCATGGTGCAGTAAGAGGACAGGACAGGGAGAGAGGTAATTACATTATTTAACAGCCCAGGAAACTGCAATACGGTGGTGATAGGTGACCCTTTGTGTGTGTGTGTGTGAGTGTGTGTGTGTGTGAGTGTGTGTGTGTGCGTAGGGGAAATCCTGCAGGGGTTTCTCTTCTTATTCCCTGCTAACCCAGCAAAAATGGAGAGGGGGAGCCCCAGTAGCAGGTCTGCCTGCAATCACAGAATCCCACTGTCATTTTACATTTGCTCTCTCAGGGGAACGCTGAGTGCTCTCGGGCCGAGATACTGTTGCTCTGCTGTCGTCACAGTTAAATGTAAACCTTGTATCACAAACAGGAAGGGATTATTCTTTTTCTCTTTTTTAGAAGTGCTGTGGGCAGTTTATCAAGTGAAATCACCATTCCAGTCTGGTTTTGATGGTGTACTAATGGAATACTATAAATTTTGAAGTTTGAATAGACACCAACTGAGAAGCTATGGAGATGTAAATTGGATTCAGAGGCAGTATCAGGTTTCTTCAAGGTCTTAATAGGTGCAAAATTGAATAATTAATTAAAAATGTCTTAATTACGTTTTTAAATGTATGCACTCAATCATAAAAATGCTTTTTTTTTAGCATTTTAATGTTACTTAGAAATATATTTTTTAAGAGAAATGTCTCGGCAGCATGCATAGTTGGTAATGTCTCCCTATGTTGCAGTTCTTTCTCAACGATTCAGTATTCACACTAATACAACTACAAATAAAACAAACATGGAACACATCGGCTTTGCTTTGGAAAAGACTTTGAAAACCTGCTGTTTCTGCCCTATTACACATTGACCAAGCCTTTTCTGTCCAGACCCCCACTCTGGAACAATGTCCGAACTTTTTGAATCTTACACAGATTCAATTGGGCCGTGAGCTAGTGGAAGCGATGATTCATGACTTGCTTAATGCGTGGGAACGACATGATTATTAGGTGGCCACCAGTTAATAAGACACATGATGGAATCTATAACGTCCCAGAGGTCAGCATATTGTTTACGTTTGAGCCCGTGCTTTTTGAGCAGCCGAATTAAGTGTCTCTTGCTCAGAATTACTCCATGTCGAACCGCAAGTGATTTCAGGATATTGTAACGCTGGCGGAAGTAATGAGGAGACAGGGCGTGATGTCTTCAGGACATTTATTTTTGTTCTTTTTACCACGAACTAACTTTGTGAACTCCCACACACAGAGACATATCTCAACGGCCCTGCCACACCCACCAATCGACGGCGCCCATACTCAGCATTTTCAACTTCCCTGATTGGCCGAGAGACAGACAGCCAGTCCAGCTGGAAAGCAGGGTCGCTACACTATCATTGTAATTCATCCCTAGATTAAAATAAAACGAAATCAGATCAAACTTGTCCATGTTTGCGGCTGAAGCTACTGATGCCAGAAAGTCAACAGTCTCACTGAAGAAATGACAAACATTTCCCGTGGCCACGTCTTATTAATTTGTGGCCACCTCATGATCATCTCGTTCCCACGCATTAAACAAGTTGTGGCCACGGGATAGGATCTCAATGTCCTGCCTCCTCCATGCTGACATTGGCTTAATGTGTTTTTTTCCAAATTTTTCACACAATCACATTCTGTGAAGTAATCTTGCCAAACTGCATTCTGACTGTTGGACTTGATTGCGTGCTGCACATGCCGCGTATGTAAAAGTGTGTGCGACTGGCTGTTCTTGTAACAGATGTAGGGGTGATGTGACGGTAGTGACGCAAGGTCCTGACTGACTCAGACTGTGTCACAGCATCTGTACGTCCTTGTCATCGCTGAAGGAACAGCACTGACAACCTCGCTCAGTTTGTCTCTTTAAGACAACATCACTTCAGAGATGCTGGGGCGGGTGTGGCGGGAGGGAGGGATGTTGGAGCATCACCCCAGCTCCGACCCGGCCCAGATCAGCCTTGCCTGGTGCGGCTGCAGGGGGTGATGAAGAGAATACGGGAGACTGGGGAGGAGGGGACTTTGAACCACGCATGTTGATGGAGGGATTTGAGTAAGAGAGGGGGAGGGAGAAAGAAGAGCAAAGGGGAGGGTTTAGGGAAATAGACTTGAGAGAAGGAGGGAGAGAATGTGTGTGTGAGAGAGGGAGAAAGAGGGAGAGAGAGCGTGTGAAGCACACTGCCAGCGCTCACTCTGTAATACACTGTGAACAGGGACAGGCAAGAGAGCCGCACACTCACACACTCACATTTACACACACACACATGCTGCCTCTGTCACATACTCTCACACCCATACACCTTCACACTGTGCTGCTCCTTCACACACACGCATGTACACACTCCCTCACACGTGTGCGCTGAGGCTGAGAGGTGTCTTGTTCCGGGCAGACACACACTTTCCCCTCACACACATGGACGCACACTGTGCAGCCGGACACCACAGAACCAGATCGGACGACTGTCACCCACCGGTGGAGACTCTCACATGAGCGCCGGCAGGACACCATCTACAGTAAGGCATGGCTACCTGCCAGCATCCCCCCCCCCCTTCTCTCCCCTCTCCCCCTTCACCTCATCTCCTCTCCCCTCCCTTTCTGTCTCCTTCCATTCATTCATCCCTCGTTCTCCCAACTGCGAGGTGGCATGCCTGGCTGAAGGACACAGCGCTGCGCTCTGCTGTGGTGTAACGCGCTGCCTAGAGAGTTGGAGAGCCCCAGCCGACAGAGGGGATAGATAGACTCACTGCACTCCCTCCCTCTGTCTTTTCCTTTCAGTGTCCCTGTCTCTCTATTCCTGTGCTCTCTCGTTTATGAATGTCACCTCTATCTCTGGGAAATGCTGGATTTATCAAGTCGTCTGTCTTTTTCCCCTCTTCTCTTAGGGTGTGGGTGAACACAAGGGTGATGCCAGGAGAGCTTAGAGGAATCGAGCCGCACTCTGTCCAGCAGAGACTGTCCGCAACCCTTTATCCTTGTCCCAGCTTGCAGAGCTGATACCTCAGGTCGGATGGTCCCTACTTCTTCTACTTCTTTCGCTGTGACATTGTTTTGAATGGAGACATTTTTCAGGTGAGGAAGAGAAAGAAAAGGAGCAGCAGTGTGTCCCGACAGTTATTTTGGAGAGTTGGTTTTGAGGCGTTTCTTTTTATCCCACTGAACCGGATCAGGTTCTGATCTGAAGGACTGAGCGTGCTAAGAGGACTTAATGTGATTATATTTTATTTCATTCTTTTTTGTTTCACAATGTGGTGCTCGGTTCTGTTGCTGAACCCTTTGGCACAGGATTGAGTCAAACTTCAGAGGAGCCAAGAGAGGAAGAGGAAGGTAGACTTGGACTGGGACAGAGGCATCAGAGGACAGCATTTACATTGCACTGTTTTTCGGGTTGATGACGACATGACTTGTCTGAAAAGAGGAAAAGCGACATAACAAGGCTTCACCTGAACCTGACTCCAAACCAGAAAACAAACCCAGAGACATTTAAAGGCAAATCACCCAACCCTCAAAGAGCGAGAGTTGTCTGTTTTGGGTGGGCCTTTGTGGAATCCACCCCTCTTTCCTCCACCCCTTTCTCTTCCTCCCCTCCTCTCCCTCTTTTTCTGCCTTTCTCCCTTCCGCTACGGTCCATCCTCTGAAGCCCCCTCCTCCGCTCTGCACCCCTCCCTCAGCGGTGCTCCGTCGCCCTGGGTGAGCGGGAAGGGGGGTGGCCCACGGTACCCCCCGACACCTGGGCGCCACCGAGCCGCCAGAGGCTGGTGAGGCGGCGGCAGGGTCAGCGCTGGGAAGATGGCCGCTCTCGCCAGCTCCCTCATTCGCCAGCGCAGGGAGGTCAAGGACCCCCAAGCAAACCGGCAGATCGCCAGCAAGCGCAAGCCATGCCCAAAGAGCAACAAGTCGCTCTGCCAGAAGCAGATCCTCATATTAATATCCAAGGTTCGACTATGTGGCAGTCGAGGGAGAAAAATGGAGAAAAGACCAGGTGAGTTCCCGAAGGCCTTCCTCTTAACTTCTCATGTATTCCTGTTTCTCCCTTCCGTCCTGCTTGCTGTTCATCTTCTCTTCTTCTTTGCTCCGTTTTCTGCCTGCATTGGATAACTGGATTTTGATGGTTGACTTGCCAGACTACAGATTAATCCTCAACAGAAAAGCCTTAATGGAGAACATCCACGGCTTGTAATTTGTAGTTCAGGACTTAATCTGAATCTGGGAAACATCCCAGTCCATCTTCCCGGTGGCTGTACACAACATGTCCTGTATTTATGGTAGTACAGGAAATAGACAGAGCGAATTCCTGCTTTATTACAGACAGATCTGTAACAGCGGCATGACCCATCCTGAGCTGTGACTATGTTGATGACTTTGTTGAGGTACATGTCAACACATCCACACACAAGCGGGTGAGCACAAACAAAGTTGTCTCATACATACGGTGATTTACGGTGATATAAAAACGTCAAGAGGCGCCTCATTTGCAATTCTGGGAGCCATTACTCTCCCTGTGCTTCCCTCAAGGCAAGTGGAACACGGTGTGGCCTAATTTATCTTGTGTGTTTGTCTGTTAAATGTAATTGGACAATTGTTCATTGAAGCTAAATTAGACAATTACATTTGATTTATGTAGAATTTGGCTCAAAATGACCATCACCATATACAGTACAGACAAATATACTGTATCGATTGTATCATAACAATCATGTTGTTCCTCAGACGTTCTCTTGGCTCAATGAAACTTTCTGACATTATTTTGAAATGCATATCTATATTTAGTTATGGTTAGGCAGGACTGACCAGTAAACAAACACAAAAACATATGAGTGGGCAGAGCCGAGTGATTGGATTGCACTCAATCAACTTTGGGCGATCGCATTGTGATTGACCAAACCACCTCGAGGAGGTCAGGGACACATTGTAGCAACATTGAACACAAGTGAAAGTGGAGTTCCATTGTCAGTCACAAAATAAACACTCGATGGGTGGACATGTGTATTCATGCACAGCTGTTACACAACAGCGAGGTCGCCGATGGTCAGCTGGCAGCCATTATCCAGTAAACACATTTAGCAGTCTTCTTCTGTTCTGTTACACAGGCTATTTTTTTTCCCCCTGTGTGTGTGCGTTTTTGTGTGTGTGTGCACAATATAACAACAACCAATAGATGGACTTTCACCAGGCTCGGTGGGAATATTCTGTTGGTGGGTATCTCCAGATAACAATTTTTTGGAGCTAATCGATTACGTGTGTGTACTTGTGTGTGTGGGGGGGTCTGCATGGTATGCTCTTACAGCAGGACTGGTCGAGGTCTGCCTGCTACTGAAACCTGTTTGTTTATTAGGTGAACCCACACAGTGACAGCGGCATCTGCCAAGTTAGCTATCTTTATTTCTGTACCTCCTGAATGATCTTGTCCCACATCTGCCTTTCTGCAAACCCACATGCACAACCTCTGTGAATTGGTGTGTGTGTGTGTCTTAATATTTGATGCCTTTGTGTGCCAAGTTCATCATGATAATTATGTGGGGAACCTCTAATGTGGGAAGCAACATCTGCCATAGAGGCGGCTGCACTCTATATTGTAATTACGGTTGTAAAATATGTTGGACAGGTCATGGCAGTGCCAGCTCTTTGGGAAAAGGCCACTCCTGTGCCATACCCATTGTTTGAAACCATTTTCATCTTAATGGCCTCAGTGTTCCTCACACTCTTGTGGATCTTTTATGGTAATTGTGGTGACGAGGTGGAGTCTGTGGTTAGAGATTTCAAGCTTTTACCATCACAGGAGTCTGAGGAAAGTCTTGCCTGTGACGTGCATCTTCATCTTTCTCTCAAGGAGTGTCTGCTTGTGCATTCATCTGATGGAGGGCACTGCTGACCCCTTCCCATGATTATGTGTGCTAGAGCTGGTGTATGTCTGTGTACATTCTCATCATGTGTGAGTTTCTCCCTCCCTCTCTGAGCATCAGCCTGAGGCCACAGTTGACCCCTGGCCGGGAATAAACAACTCAAATATTCCTGAGCCTCCACCTCCTCCTCCACCTCCTCCTCTTCCTCCTCCTCTTCCTCATCCTCCTGGCAGGGCTTCAGAGTGGCCTGCTTACAGCTTGCCTTCACTTTGCCTCCAGCTTGCCTCCATTGTCTCTACTAGCATTGTTTGGCTTCTATTGGCTTTCTCTGCATCCGGTGGCTTACAGTCTCTTGCATTGTCTAGTATTTTGGTTGGTTGCCATTGTTTTTTAAATGGCCTCCATTCTCTTACTGTGGATCTGGTTACCCTCTGCTGGCTGATGCTGACATTTGATTCAAATTTTATTATGACAATAAGGACAGAGATGATATAATGTGGGGACCTATACATAGTATTTTACAGTAAGTACTAAAATGGCCGTGTCATTCACTGTTTGCTGGGAGAAACACACTTAATAGCTCCAGAGCAATATTACTGCACTCTATGGAAAGTTTCACCATATACCAGTAGTGAATAGGCAGCCTTTTAGGTCAGAGAAATACCAGTATATGTAGTACTAGTGGTAATTGGAGTCGTCTCAGTAGGGGCGAAGTTACACTTTAGAGATTACGCTTCCATCCTTGTTTTTTTCCACCCATCACACACTGTGGTTTTTTTTGGTTGAGAATTCTGCAGAGATAATCCGATGGTCTTTGTATTTTAATGCATAAAGTGTGTGCTAGACGTTAATGTTTCACCTTGACAACAGGGAGTCACTTATTACATATTTGACAACAAACCTGAATAAGAATCAAAACCTTGAGAATTGCTCACATGTGCTGGGCCTCAGATTTAAAAATCTGGACACTCTATTTGCATAAACTTATGTCCACCTGGAACACAGTGATTATGTGTTTGTGTGTGTAGATATTATCATGGATGTCTGAATGTGTGAGGCTAGCCAGGGGGGACATTTTACCAAAAAACATGTGTGTGTGTGTGTGTGTCCTAAACATTCTCTACCCACCTTTATGTGTCCCTGCATGACCCACATACCTTCCCATCTAACATCCTCTCTTACACTCTCATCCCCCATCTCTCACCTCTACAAACACACACACACACACAC